TTCGGTACCTTAGGTTTCGGTTTCGACCTCTCGGTATCGGACACGGACTTAACCTTCGATGTCGACGGCTTCGATGTCGATGTGTTGGCAGCGGAAGACATGACGACGGAGGAAATAACCGGCGGGTCAGCCATCGGTTGAAGCGCCTTCTCCAAAAGAAAAACTCTTAAACGTGCCGCTCTATTTTTCCCGAGTCTGGTTGGAAAACTGCGCACAGTGTTCACAAGAGTCTGTTTTGTGGGTCTCCCCAAGACAGAAGATACAGTACTTATGTCCGTCTGGAGGAGCCAATTTACTTCCACAGGAACGGCAACGGTTGAAAAATCCCCACTTTTTTGACTGTTTTGCCTTTTCCTTCTCCATAGACTGAGGAGAAAAGGCAGCGACAAGGAGGGGGGGGGTGGGCCAGCGGCCTGAAGGCCTGAGGTAATTTTACCTCAGATGACGAAAACAAAAAAACTCCTTTTTTTTTGAAAATAATCAGAAAAGGAAAAGAAACTGAAGAAAAACTGAGGCAAAAACGGAGAGCTAGTCACAAAAAGTGATCAAAAAAGGCAGCGATCCGGCCAGACCTCTCGAAGACAGGTCTGCTCAGCGCGGCGGAAAGGAAAGAACTGGCGGGATGTCCGTGCCTGCCCTTCTGGGCATGCTCACTGGGGCTCCTGAGCATGCTCAGTTGGGCCAGGCACGAAAATCCTTCTAGAAGAGCTTGCTAGGCACCGGCAGATCCAGCGTGGGCGCACTAGATCCCATTGGTGTGAAGCACAGAGACCACGAAGAAGATCAACAGTTTCTACTGTCTGAATCAGGGTCGTATTGCATACATCCTGATCTTAAAACCTAGTGCTGGATGAAGTACTTCCCCACTGTGCATGACACAAACACAAAAACCTTTTTAGGAGCACCCCTGTAGAGTGCTCTGTAAACTTCCCAACAACCATGCAGATGACAGTTTATCATATCATATTCTGGTGTCTTTGCTTACCTGGATATGGCACTCTCCCTTTTGTTACTAACTCTGTCAGCAATATTCCAAAGGACCAGACATCTGATTTTATTGTAAACCTTCCATATAATGCAGCTTCTGGGGCAGTCCATTTGATGGGGAATTTTGCACCTAAAAGAAAGCAAACACATTACTATTCATTTATTTATTCTTCAAATTTGTATCCCGCACTCCCCGGAGGCTCAGGGTGGCTAACAGGGGCACAAGTGCCTAATTAAAAAAAAAAAGAACAGTATTAAAAATACAATACAATATACAACAATACAATTAATAAAATATCGGTGCTCCACTGCTCTCTCCAATTCCTAAAATCAAGATGGTGTTCTACAGATGTTATAATAATACAACGACCGTATGTCCCCACAACCCTATCATCCGCCAGGTACGTCTCACACCCCCGATAGTATCCGCATTGTGCGTTGGTGGAATAATGGTAGCGATGGCTCCTACTTGAAAGCCTGGCGGAAGAGCTCCGTTTTACAGGCCCTGCGGAACTGCCCAAGGTCCCGCAGGGCCCGGATCTCTTCTGGGAGCTCATTCCACCAGGTAGGAGCCGCCACCGAAAACGCCCTGGCCCTGGTCACAGCACGTTTGATGGTCCTGGGGCCTGGAATATCCAGGAGATTTTGGGTCCCCGACCGTAGTGCCCTTGGGGGAACATGCGGGGAAAGGCGGTCCCTTAGGTAGGCCGGACCCTGGCCATATAGGGTGTTAAAGGTAAGAACCAGCACTTTGAAGCGAATCCGGTATGCCATTGGCAGCCAGTGCAGCGCTTTCAGCACAGGCTGGATGTGATCCCATCTAGGGAGACCCATCAACAACCTGGCCGCAGCATTCTGCACTAGCTGCAGCTTCCACATTTGCGACAAAGGCAGCCCCATGTAGAGAGCGTTACAGTAGTCTAACCTTGAGGTGACCGTCATATGGATCACTGTGGCCAGGTCATCACGGTCAAGGAAGGGGACCAACTGCCGCGTCAGCCACAGATGGTAAAAGGCCGACTTGGCAGTGGCTGCTACCTGGCCCTCCATCGTCAAGGAGGAGTCCAGGAGCACACCCAAACTCCTAACCTCCGGCGCCGGCACCAAAGGCGCCCCCGTTGAAGGCCGAGAGAGGGAGCCCCAACCCTGAACCGATCCGACTCAGATCCAGGACCTCTGTCTTTGCCGGGTTTAGTTTCAGCCAACTCAGTCTGAGCCAACCAGCCACGGCCTGTAACGCCCGATGAAGGTCATCTGGAGTGGAGTCTGACTGGCCGCCCAGCATCAGATAAAGCTGG